TTTCACTCCTGCAGTGGAGGGAACAGGGGAGCTGAGCTGAGCCTTTCCCAGGGTACCTGCCTGAGGCCCATGGTTCTGTGCTAAGAAGAGCTGGTGGGGCCTTGGTCCTGTCCCCGGGGCCTCAAATGCAGGGCCCCAGGGGCCAGGCAGGGAACATAAGTACATGCAGCGGCCTGGGTGGGCACAGCGACAGACTGGCAATCACATGCCAGTCTAATGGGCAGCTGACTACTGTCCCTCGGGAGGGCATCCACAGAGCTGCCAGCTGTATGGTTTTATAAGAGAAGCAGAAATCTGGATGTGTAAGGAATTCTTTGGCGGTCCAGTGGTTAGGACTTGGTGCTTTCACTGCCAGGGCCTGGATTCAATCCCTGTTCAGGGAATTAAGATCCCACACGCTGTGTGGCATGGCCAAAAAAAAAAAAAAAATTTGGATGTTTATGCCAAACATTTCACTTTTAAAAGGTGGTCATTAATCCTTTTTTTTTTTTTTCTTACAACATAATGTGGGGTGAACGAAACATGTCTTTGGGACAGAACTGGCCTTTTACACTCACAGGTCTAAAGAGACAGCAGCCTGGAGCCTTGTGACAGCCCCTCCCCCGGGAGAGTGGGGAATGGATGGGTGGAGATGGGAGAAGGCATCTTTTTGGTCAGAGAAGATCAGGCAGGGAGACAGCCCAGGGCTTGCTCTCAGGAGACTTCCTGTGGTCCTAATGGCCATCCGCCTCCTCCAGGTGCTGGTTCTGTGAGAAAACTGCCATCTCTGCGCTCTACGTCACTGTCCACGGCTATTTCCTCATCACCTTCCTCTTCAGCGCCGTGGTCCTGGTCCTGGTGGCCTTGAAGATCTTCACCCTGTCGAGTGCCACGGCGGGCAAGGAGAAGCGGCAGCACTGGAAGGGGGTCCTCACCCTGCTGGGCCTCTCGAGCCTGGTGGGCGTGGCCTGGGGGCTGGCCATCCTCACGCCCCTAGGCCTGTCCACCACCTACGTCTTTGCACTGTTCACCTCTCTGCAAGGTGAGGCTCCTGGGACAGGGAGGTGACGAGCTGCCTCGCCTGCACCAGGGGGTGTTGGGGGGCTTTGCGGGGAGGGGGTAGATGGCAAGAAACAAGATTCTACTCAGGCTCGCTCAAATCAAGGGTAGTGATCTTAAATATCCAAGGCTCTCCCAAGGACCCCAGGGCAGGAAGGCTGGCTGACCTCATGGGAGCTGGTAGCAGGGTCAGGAAAAGCCACCAAAACCAAAGCAGATACTTTCCCCATCTTCTTCTCTGGAGTCACACGGAGTCTCTCACCTTGTCTCTGTGGAAGCTGCTTCAGTCTTCTCTCCACTGGCCCATTCCTACCCATGGCCCCCAGCTGGCTGCCCAGCATGGCCCCCGTCATCCCTGTGTGACCTTCTAAGTCTAGTGACCATGGTCTGCTTCAGTCTCTTCCATGTTCTTAGGAGAGTCAGGGATCTGACTGGGCCATCTTGGGTCAGGTGTCCATCTCTGGTCCAATCATCTGTGACCAGGAGGGCGAGATCATGTGACGTGAAGGCCACGTGACACGAACAGACTCTCTAAGGGGCTGTGAAGGCAGGAAGCAGATGGTTAGTGGAGGAAATGCTTGCTACGTCTGCTCCCTGCTCCCGTGGGGTTCTTTCTCTGATACCCAGCAAAGGGGCAGGCGCCCAGGGTGCATGTGGGACACGGTTTCCCCGCCCGCACCTGTCCTCTTTGTTCCTCGTACCCCTGTTTCATACACTCAACTTAATGAAGCACCACAGCCTGACTGTGAGGCAAGCAGCTAAGAGAGGAAGGACGAGGAGTTACTAGGAGCCGAGGGGTCCTAGATCCAGCAGGTGCAAGCCCACAAGAACAGGGCTGGCTCCCAGTGCCTCACAAGACTACATGGCACCACGGTTGGCAGCACTTGGGGACAAGCAGACCGGCGTTCAAATTCCCACCTCCACTCACCACCCCAGCAAGTCACTCAGCTCCTCTGATCCAGTCACCTGTACAGCTGGGATAATTCCAGTACTTTTCTCGCCAGATTTCATGATGAATAACTGAGATAATGTGTGTGTGTAATACAGGAGGCCTTCAATATGTGGGAACTATGTTAACAACAGAAGTCATTATTATTAGGTCACCGGAGACTGTCCCCAGATGAAGAATTATGAGTCCACCTCTGAAAATTCCCAGGGGTTACGGCTTGGAGAGGGATGCACCTTGAAACTGCGGATTACGTCATTATTCTTTCTGAGGTTACCCATCATAGTTAAGTCTGAACACTTCACCGCACCGAGTTATTTCAACTGAGTGTAACTCGGTATTTCTCTCTTCTTCCCAAACAGAGCCCTCAGCCCCCTTTAACTGCCCTTGAACTCTTCTAAATATTTTTTATTGTCATGTAGGGTTTTAGTTCTACATTTCTTTTAAAGAAACACAAAGATTTTTACTTTTCTATCAATCTCTGTACTTACTACAATTTTCATACCTCACATCTTCCCTTTTCTTCTCGCTGAAGCACATCCTGGAATAATCCTCTATAAGAGGGGCAGTGTAGTTGTTTTGCATGTCTGAAAATTCCTTCATTTCGGTCTTTCTTTTATGAGATAGCTGGGTGTATAGATTTTATTTCGAGGACTCTGGTTTTCATTCTCAAGTTATCTGTTTGGTTCTTTTTCAGGGGTAGGTTTCATTTTTTTGTCTGATTTTTCTATACATTCTTGAACTTTTACAGTGGAGCGATTTCTCCTCTGAGTGGCCGCCAGCCCAGGCCCCACCCCAGGCTCACTGAGGCCCTCTCCTCCCTGACAGGTGTCTTCATCTTCTGCTGGTTTGTCGTTCTCTACTTCCCAAGCCAGAGCACCGTGACCTCGTCTTCCGGCACTGCCCGGGCTGACCAGGACCTCACCGTGTCTCATGAATAGTAGGCTGCCGTGTGGCCAGGCCAGGGCTGGCCTGCATTCTGGACTCAGCTCTGATTTGCTGTGTGACCTTGGTGGGAGGGAAGAGGTGCTCCCTGCTTCCTTCTGGGCCTCAGCGCCCTTCTCTGTACAATGGGACTTGGGAGCAGGGGGATGGGAACCAGGTTGGACCATGTGGCCTCAAAGGTCTTATCCAGATCCACCTATGGGTCTGAGAGTTCACAGATCCAGGATGGCAGGAGTCTCAAGTCCCTGTGATCCTAAGACCCTGCCGGCACGCCCACCCGCTGCCTTCAGAGCAAGGGCCTGAGCCCAAATAAGGAAGTCTGTCGTTGGCCTCTTGAAGGAGCCCCCAGCCTCTCCCCTCCCTTCCTTCCCCTTGTCAGCGCCCTCCCACAACTCCACCCTCTGGCCGGGCACCTGGGGGGCCGTCAGGGCCACCATCCCCTCAGGCACTGGGGCAGTTGTGGACTGGAGTTTTGTTGCCTGGTTCGGGGGGGGGGGGGGG